CCCACTGGTGGACCTCCTGAGGCACCTGGTATTTCTGGCCACTGTGTGATACAGAGTGTTGGACTGGATGGGCCTTTGGCCTGATCCAACATTGGCATCTCTTATGTTCTTATGTTCTTACCCTTGGAAGCCCACTAACCTTAACAGACGTAGAAAACTATCACTCTGTTTAGAACTGCACTATTATTCTTCCAGATTAGATTTACACTGATCTACACAGTGATCTGATCCCAGCAGCTTTTACTGGATTCCTCTAGTCAGGGTGCACTTCTCTGGCTGGTCACCTTGAGACAGGTTCTGTGGTGAAAGGCAGCTTCCTCACAATATCCCTGCAAGGTAGCATAGGCTAAGACTTCAGTGGAACCTAGTGGTAGGGATAGACCCAGTGACTTTAATGGCTGAGTATAGAGAAAGGAGATTAAGGTCCAGCGCTAGCCACCTTCCCCCATGCTGGCTCTGACAGCCATTCCCTAGTTACCTGTGATGAACAAAAATCCCTCTAGGTGACTAAACTGGGAAATACTTCCAGCGGTCGGCAAGCTGTTTTGCTTCCCGTTCCAGGCTGAAAATCTGTTGCAGATTGTCTAAAAATAGATCTTAAGTCATCTAAACTTGCCATTGACTAGATTAGCTTCGGAAGGCTGTACTTAAAAAGATAAAAGCATCGGTTAGAGTGCTTGGCTCTTGTTCGGCGAGCTCCCAGGATGCAAAACTGTCCCACTGCTAGTAGGTCTATCGCAAATAATCTTTTAGGCCTGAAATGGTAGCAAAGCAGGTATCCATTCGGTAGCAAATCAGCAGCTGAAGACTTGATTTTGGCACCTCTGTACAAAGCTGCTGAAGGGACCAAGCTTTGACAGAGCCTTTGAACAAAGTGACCACCATAAATCCCAAGGAACCGACATATCTTAGCTTGCCTACTGGCTTACAAGCAATGTTCCCTCTAAGCTGTGGAGTCTTGTGAGCAAAAATTCTAGCTTGTGAGCTACTGGCAATAAAGTTGTGAGCGAGGGATCTGGCTACTACATAAATTAGTTTGCTCTGGAGCCCCATCCTTCCTGAGTTAAGACAAAAATGTGTGAGTCGGAGGCTAAAAAACTATGAGCTGGCTCACACTAACTCAGCTTAGAGGGAACAATGCTTACAAGCTCTGGAAGTGTTCTGCCAATGGTCTGACCTGAATCTAAACATTAGAGTTAGCGGGGGAGAGGAAAACCCAGGCCCAGGGTCATATGACTGCTAAGTCCAGGGGGCGAGACACGCACAAACAGACTAGATTTATTTCTGTCTGCCAGGTATTGATTTTGCAACCCGCAAGAGACTAGATTTATTTCTGTCTGCCAGGTATTGATTTCGCAACCCGCAAGATAGCAAAATTGCTGAAGCCCAAGAAGGTTATTGAACAGGACGGGGACTCCTTCTCTATCCACACGACAAGCACTTTCCGGAACTACTCTGTCCAGTTCAAAATCGGGGAGGAGTTTGAGGAAGACAACAAAGGCCTGGACAACCGGAAATGCAAGGTGAGAAGCCTGTTGAAGGTCCAGCCGTATAGATCTGACTGACTGTGTAGGATCTCACCCCTCCCCTTGAGAACATTAGACATGGTTTCTGTTCACCACCAAAGACAAACCCATCCCTGAGTCACATGTATGAATATGATTTGTATTGCACAGCTAAACTGGAAGCGGGGATATTCCACAGCCTGATCCACAGTGCCACATGGTAATGGCAAGCCCACACAGAGCAGGCATTAGCAGCTTTCATCTACAGAGATATTGGATAGGAACATGTGAAGCTGCCTTATACCCAGGGGTCATTTCCTGCGGGAGCGCACAGGAGCGGAGCTCCAGCAGTAAGGAGCCCAGGGGGCGGGCACATGCAACAAGCCCCGCCCCCTGCTCCCAGCAGCCCTCAGTTGGGCCACCAGGAGCAAGAAGCAGCCAGGTAAGTTGCAGAGCCCCCCCCCGCC